ATACAAGGATATGGAAACTAGGTTGATATGGATGGACCAATGTCTTTATTCAACCTTACCTATTATGTAACTATGAAGCCAAAACTCCATATAGCATCATCTGAACTAGACAGGCATGGAGGGTAGGGAGATGAATCACTCCTCTGACTTTGGTAAATTTTAGCTTGTACTATTGAGCTCTGCAACTCACAGGCTTTTTGCAGCAGAACAGCTAAGAACAGCCCGTTAAACATCAACAGCTTTTGACAACCCCTGCATTTAATTCACAGTTTAGGTATCTTAAAGCAGATCTCTAGGCAAAAGTGTTTTAATCCTTGCAGTGGGGCTACCCCCGCATTGCAAGGGTTCAGTGCTCCTTTTTGCTTGAGTGCTAAAAAAGGTTATACTCACCCTATCCTTGTAGCTGGATCGTTCTTAGACCGATCCCCAGAGCCTCTTTCCCCCTCCGCTCCAGTGGTCTTAGGATCCTTGAGTCATCATGCTCTATTCACAGTGTATAGAACTTGATGATGCCAAGGAACATACCTTCGCTGCAGCAGGAGAGGAGACAGGTTATAGGGACTGGTCTAAGAGTAAAGCTGGCCATACACCTATAGTTTTCCTTCAGATTTTCTATGGTCAGATGGAAAAAAGTGCAACAGATTCCTCCATCTACGCTAAACTGCGTGGATGGAGGGATCTCCCACTGGGCCAAGCTTCAGTATCTTGCTAGTCGGCCTGAACAATGCCTGCATCCAATCAGATTGTTCAAGTATTTTGAGAGCCTGCGGGCCGACTAGCAAGATACTGAAGCTTGGCCCAGTGGGAGATCCCTTCATCCACACAGTTTAGCGTAGATGGAGGAATCTGTTGCACTTTTTTCCATCTGACCATAGAAAATCTGAAGAAAATCTATAGGTATACACCAATAAGCTTAAGTTGGCTCAGAGGATTGGGTGAGTACAACTTTTTTTTTTTTTAGCACCTAGAAAAAAACAGGCACTTAACCCTTGCAGTGAAGGGATAGCCCCACTGTATAAGTAAGGAACTCTTTTGCCAGAGTTCTTCTTTAAATTATCATGTGATGTTACGGGTTCTTCCTCTTCTTGTCTGCCATTGTATGGCACTTACTGCCGCAATTTTCTTTTCTTTCTTTTTTTTAATCCTGGAGTTGGGCTTTATATTTTTTTTATTTTAATTGCAATAAAGAAATAAAGAATATATATGGCTCGTAAAAAAAAAAAACTGCTTTTGTATAGGAAAAATGTTTATATTGCTGTGAAGACTTTTTCTGTGTACTGTGATTGATTTACAAAAGGGGTGAATGTTTACCTTGCAAAGTGAATATTCACTGAGCTTACTAAAAAGGTGAAGCTGTGTTTACTTCAATCAACCAGTCATGTCCTAGCAGAAATCCTATATTTTTAAATTTCCCTTTACACATTTGTATGTACTTAATTGCTAAGAGAACAGCCTACATGTTCCTTTAATAAATCCTAAATCACCTCTCCCAGTCCTCTATGTCAAATCCCAAGTCTTCATTTTGGTGCATTAAACTTTGTAAATGAACTAGTCACTTTAGGAGCTAGATAATTGTATTTATATTTAGTAGGTAATAGAGATTAAACATCAATCAAATGTACAGAGAGCTAAACATTTCCAAAACCTGCTGCAGGTACAGGCAATCAGTATGCTGGTGATGTGTATAAGGAGAAGTGATGATAGCAGGCTGTGACAGAAATCAACAAAACTCGTCATTGTCACCATACAAAGATCACAGATCAATTAACACTACCTGAAATGAAATTTACATGAAGCGCTTATTGGATTCAAGTATATTTAACTTCGGAACCAGTATCTGAAGTCCTCCCAATAATATACGCCATTGCCATACACACAATATATAATAGTTCTGTACAACAGAACATATCTATCCACCTATTCTTGGACAATTCAGTATCATGCTTTCAATTTTATATATA